GTTCTCAAGGGTGTGCTATATCAGGAAAATTAAATACAGACACACAGAAATAAGAGCTCAAAAACTAAGAAAGTGGCAAACTTAATCGTAGGGACAAGTCTGGAGTTGAATATTATATCCCAGAATTTAATTGGGAAAATTGAACCAATACAGAAGATAAAGTACATGAGACTGGTTGGTTCATGCACCTACCATTTTAATAGAATCCTAACCTGTTTCCTGGGTTTATGCAAAGTTCCTTAGTATTTCTTTAAGTTAAAACTGGTTTTCTTAATAATACCAAGTGAACTTGCTGTTGAAAGTAGTGAGATTATTTAAGAAATTGTGTGATCAATACAATGTGGGTAGGAAAGGAATGGAAGACAATTGTAGACTCCAGACATAGTCTGAGAAGAGGGTGGGAAAGGACAAGGGGTTAGAAAAAGGGGTAAAAAAATTCTAGAAACTAGAAATGGAAAATTTTTGAGAATAATATGCATGATTAAATCACTATGCAGTATATTGTGCATGGGAAATCACATTTTGTATGCTGTGATGATGCTAAGGGAAATAATGTAAATTAAGGTAAAAAAAAGTTTCAGAAAAAAAATATCTACTTGATGACTACAGTAAGATATATAGCCCCACCTAGGTGCTACTTTATAGGATGCCTAAAGTTAGACTTGTGTTCATGGAAATGTATATATCAGCTGTTTTTGCTATGAAAATATTTAGATTAATTAAGATCTTTAGTAATTCAATAAAATGTGTATAGAAATTCAATAAAAACAGTATAGAAAGCAAACATAGATACCAGAGACAGTGGGGGGGGGAGTGGGAAACAGCAGAGGGTAAGAGATAGGGAATCAAGCATGGAGATAAAAAGCAAAACATACAGGAAACAAGAAATGGAAAATTATTTGTTGACAATAACATATATGTTAATGTGCCTGATTAAGACAATATACAGTGTACTCTGGATAGAAAATCTCATTTTGTATGCTGTGATGACATACAGTGAATGAATGTAAATAAAAAATATATTTAAAAAAACATATGAAGACTAGATTGAAACTAGGTAAGAATAAATATGGGGTCCCTGGAGGTGGACTGAGAGATAGTAGAGAATGCTGATAGGGGCTAAGCTTACATTGTCCTGTAAAGAAATTGCATCAGCAGTCATCCTCTAGTCTCATTTCTCCCCACACTTGGAAACCATTAGTGTGTGTTCTGTCCATGTATTTGTCTCTTTTGGACATTTCATATAAGTGATATCAAAAAATGTGTTCTTTTGTGACTGCTTTATAGCATTTAGAATAATGTCTTGGAGGCTTGTACTTGTATAGCATATATCAGTATGTTATACCTTATCATTGTCAAATAATGTTCCCCATTGTATGGATATGCGACATTTAATTTGCCCATTTATTAATTGATTAACAATTGAGTTATTTTGAGGAGAAAATTTCTCATGGCTCCTGAGAACTAGTGACTTTGGGGGAGGGATGAAGATTTCCTACTGATAACTCAGCCTCCAACCCACAAATGAGTGGAATCACAATGGAACTGCAAATAGATTACAGATCACCTCTTTCTGCATGCTCCTGAACATTCAGATTGAACTTAAAGAATTAGGAAGAAACACACCATCCATCAGATGACTAGAAATCACTGCCGGACAACAAGAAATATGGGAAAGCAAGAAAATACCTGTCCTCCAAGGGAAAAGAATAACTCCTCTTCATCCACAAGCAGTTCAATGGAAATCATGGAAATGTCTGGTAAACAATTTAGAATATTCATAATGGTGAAGCTAACAGACATGGAAGAGAAGCGAGACAATGAACTGCAGAATAGAAAGGAGAGGGAAGATGATGAGTTCCAGGAGGTGAGGAAATTCTTGTAAGATCTAAAGGAGGAATTACACACTTTAAAAAAGAATCAAACAGATGATTATAGAGATGAAGGCTATAATACAGGAAGTCGAAATCTCCCTTCAAAGAATTAAAAGCAGATTAGATCATGCAGAAAATAGAATCTCAGAAATAGAAGAGAAAATTGGTGGCCTATAAAAATCCACCATGAAGACCGAGAAAATGGCCCAATACAATGAGAATAATATACGAGAAATACTAGATACTATCAAATGTCCTAACATCAGGATAATTGGTATCCCAGAAAGCAAAGAGTGGGGCATTGGTAATCTATTCAATGAAATCCTACAAGAAAACTTTCCAAAACTAGAGAGGCACTCAAAGATCCAGTCTGAAGAAATACAAAGGATCCCAATTAGAATCGACCGAAGAATATCTTCTCAAAGACACATTACAGCCAGATTGAACAAAGCCACAGACAAAGACAAGATACTAAGATTGGCAAGAGAAAAACATCAAGTTAACTACAAAGGATTTCCCATCAGGCTAACAGCAGACTTCTCATCAGAAACAATGTGAACAAGGAAAGAATGGGAAAATATATTCAAAGTGTTAAGGGAAAAGCAATTCCAACCAAGAATACTGTATCTGGCAAGATTATCCTTCATGTAGGAAGAAAAGACAAAAAGATTTTCAGATGAACAAAACTTGAAATAATTTAGCAGCACCAGATCAGATCTCCAAAAAGTTCCTAAGGGAGTGCTATATCAGGAAAATTAAAAAACAGACACACAGAAATAAGAGTTCAAAAACTAAGAAAATGTCCAAATTAATTATGGGGACAAGTCTAGAGTTGAATATTATATCCCAGAATTTAATCGAGAAAATTGAACAACAACAGAAGACAAAGTACATGAGACTGAATTGGTGAAATAGAATTTTGATGACTTTTGACTAAAACATTGCTGATTTTCTTCTAAGCTTTGTTGTCCGGTTGTAAGAATTTGTGTCATTCTTGAGATGTCAATAAGTTCATGTACCTACCATTTTAATAGAATCCTAACCTGTTTCCTGGCCTTAAGCTTTAAGCAAATTTCCTTAGTATTTCTTTTATTTAAGTTAAAACTGTTCTTCTTGAAATTGCCAGCTCAGCATGCAATTGAAAGTAGTTAGATTATTTAAGAAATTATGTGATCTAGGGAACCAGCAGTTAGCGTAATGGCTATGTTGCTGGACTCCCACATAGTCGACTGCGGTTCGTGTCCTGGACCCAGTGGCTTAAAACTCACGCCGGGCGCGTGTGCGTGCGTGCCCAAGATCCCGAGAGGAGAATGGAGGAGAAGGGATTGCGGTGTGACCATCCACCCTGGGGGGTGATTTCTCGCTTTCTGTCTCTATGTCTCTCTCTGTCTGTCTGGCGAGCGCGCATGCGCCCTACAGTGAAAATCTCTCCAAAAAAAAAAAAAAGAAATTATGTGATCTATACAATGTGGGGGGGAAAGGAATGGAAGACAACCGTAGATACCAGAGATAGTGTGAGAAGAGGGTGGGAAAGGATAGAAGGTCAGAAATACGGGTTTCATATTTTTATATATCTATGTATATATGTATATATATATATGAAACTAGAAATGGAAAATTTTTGATGATAAGATGAATGATTAAGCCACTATTTGGTATATTCTGGATGGGAAATCACATTTTGTATGCTGTGACGATACTTAGTGAATGAATGTAAATTAATTACGTTTTTTAAAAAAGTTTCAGAAAAAAAAAAAAACCTAAAACAGTTTTTCTTGAAACAAACAACCAAAATGCATTAAAAATACCTATTTGATGACTGCAATAAAATATATAGCCCCAGCTAGGTGCTACTTTAAAGTATGTTCACTCTACTCACTGAGGTTTATGCTAAAGTCAGACTTGTGTTCATGGATATGTATATATCAGCTCTACTTGCTGTTCAAAATATTTAGATTAATTAAGATCTTTAGTGAACCAACAAAATATGGGGGGGGGGGAAATGCATAGAAAGCAACCATAGATACCAGAGACAGTGTGGGAGGAGGGTGAGAGATGGCAGAGGGTGAGAGAGAGGGAATCAAGGATGGGAAAAAAATGCAAAATATAAAAGAAATAAATGGAAAATTATTTGTTGATGATAACACATATGTTGGTTGATGTGCTTGATTGAGCCAATATACAGTGTACTGTGAATGGAAAAATCTCATTTTGTATGCTATAATGATGTACAGTGAATGAATTTAAATAAATAAATTTAAATGTTAAAAAATGGAATTGTTTTCACTTCTTTGGGCTATTCTGACTAATGGCATTAGGAACATTGACATGCAAGTTTTTGTATGGGTGTATGTTTTTAATTTTCTTGGGAATTAGAATTTCTTTTTTGAGAGTTTTTTGCTGTAGGGCGCGTGCGCTCGCCAGACAGACAGAGAGAAACAGAGAGACAGAAAGCGAGAAATCACCCCCCAGGGGGATGGCCACACCGCAATCCCTTCTCCTCCATTCTCCTCTCGGGATCTTGGGCACGCACGCACATGCACCTGGCGTGAGTTTTAAGCCAACGGGTCCAGGACGCAAACCACGGTCGACTATGTGGGAGTCCAGCGACATAGCCATTATGATAACTGCTGGTCCCGGGAATTGAATTATTGGCCATGTAGCAAATTTATCTTTTTTGAGAAATTGTCAAACTGTTTTCTGCAGTAGCTGCAACATTTTACATTCCCACCTGTAACTATGAGAGTTTCAGTTTCTGGACATTTTTACCAAAATTATTATTGGCTGGGTTTTTTTTACTTTCTTTTAGCCTCTACACATAGTTGTGACTTATTGGCTGCTGCTTCTATCTCCTTTCTTCCTATTCACTGCTCTGATTTTTGCGAACAAGATTATAATCCTTCAAATCTATGATATCTTATCTGACTTCTTTAAAAAAAAAATTGCCAGAGCTCACATGCACTTGATGGAGAGAGACAAAGAGAGAGAAATAGAGGGAGGGGAGAAAGTACCCCCCATGAGACGTGGCCATGCTGCAGTCTCTTCTCTTCCCTTTCTTCTTCTTTTCAGGATATTCAGTATGTAAACACGTGTGCCCAAAATGTTTTTCAAGAAACCAGCTCTAAATATCAAACCACATCATTGATCATTGGAGATCCAGCTCCCTTAAGCCACAGGCCATGTGGCTTAGACCTGCTTCCCCTTTTTTTAAATCTGTAATTTAAATACTAGAGACCATTTGTATTATCCCCATAACTCAATCCTTTCTGAAGTGTATAGATTATTCTGTTAGAGCTTTGTCTTGCTTAACTTTAACTGTCATTGACATGTAGGTATTTCCACACTATCCTGAGATCTTGGCCTTAATATAAACTGCCTATTGAATTTAGTTGAGTTCCTAAAAATCAACTTGCTTCCTTCTAAACTCCCTTTCTTAATTAAGGAAATCTCCTTCTACTTACTTTGCTGAAGCTAAATATTTTGTGGCCATCAGCAACTACTCTTCATCATTTGTTTTCTCCTACCATCCACAGTCTTGGTTTCACCTTCATTGGCCCATCATGTCACCACTATCACCACTGAACTGTTACTTGCATTCTTGGGTCAGGTCCTGATCCCATGCTGTTGCATGCTGTCCTCAGGTTCATTCTGAATCCTAGAAGAGGCTATGATCTTTCTCCACTTGAACACACTGATAATTGCTTCACTTTCGGGATAAAGCCAGACACTGAGTCAAGAGAAAAAACAGACTCTTTGGTTCTAGTGCTGTGGGGAGCTAGAGACTGGGCCCTGGTTTATCACATTCACACTGAGCATCATAGAGTCTCATGGGTGGATAAATTCCCTGTTACTGGGAATTGGAGCAAACATATCTTTGTTGATTTGATGTTTCCAGAACTAGAAGGACATTCCAAAGCACACACTTAAAAGGACTCTTAAGGAGTAATTATAAATGCTAATTCAGTGCCTAGTCATTTTTACATATACACATACACAAGTTGATAATAAGTGTTTTGGGACTTTCCAGTTTACCTGACATTTCACGATTTCAGGATAATATGCAGAGCTTACAGTGGCCTTCAGTATCTGGCTCTGCCCATATCCTGGCCTCACCTCTCTAAGTTCACCTAGTTCCAAAGATCTAGCAGTACTAAGTTCTTTCCACTGCACCCTCTGCCTAGATCATCCAGCTGACTGGTACTTACTCATCATTCATGTCTCATCTCAAGTTGACCATATGGGATCTAGCTACTGTAACCACCATGTAGCGGACTGGACTGAAATATGTCACTTCAAAGTCATCACAGACTAAGGCTACATACTGCAGTCCTGGCTGGGTCACTGACTTTTGACTAAATTCCAGTTGTGTCCCTGTCCTCCTGTGACCTTCAGCAGAGCAGATTTTGTCACTGTGTTCTGAGTTTCCTAGAATCATACAATGAGGCAGCTAAGGCCAGTAGTGTTGGTCCAGTGAGAAGGACAGTGCTGCAGGACCTGGTATCAGCCAGCCTTGTTCTAAGCCTGCCATGCCACCTACAAGAGTGATCAATCAAAAACTAACTATATTTTACTTCATTTTGTCTCTACTATACTATGAACTCCCTGAGGATACATTACATTGTTATCCTTATTATTTTACTTTAATCATATGTAAAAACATTATCAATAATATGTCTCTAGGACATAATTAGTAACAATATCCTTTGTCAATATCATAACGCTAAGAACAGTAACAAAATAAGCAATCGCCCTCCTTTACCATCCATCAGTCAAATCCATGTGATCCATGTGACTGCTTTATCTTCAGCAAAGTGACTGCAGGTATCCAGGCAGACATCCTATTCCCTCATCATAGGATCTAGTCAATCACTTCTGTATAAGACTCCTTGCCACTCACTCTCTCAATCACAATGTTTGCCTTTAAAATCATCTTCATATCTATAAGACCTATTTCAGGCAACATGGATTTTTTGGTGCTGGGCAATCGTCCTAACCCTGGCCCAAATAAACTCTTTGCTTTACTTGCCTTTTTTTAGGTGGACACTAGGAAACATTTTAACATATGAGAGGATAGTGAAATGTGATATTTAAACAGAGTTCTGAAATCTTTTCTTACTTGTTACTCCAAAATAGGAAATATGGAAAACCAGACCCTAATTACCATGTCGAATGGAATCTGATGGTAAGTCCCTACACTTTATAGATTTTTACAGGAGGACTAATTCTGACTTTTCAGTTTTGCTGGGGCTTGGGGGAGCCTTAACACCTAAACTACAGCAATGTGAATGATGCATCTTTTGTTATGTTGTAATGTCTATTAGTATGAAGGGTTTTTTTTATCAGTAGTTAATTTTAATTTAAACTTATGTCCTAACACAAAGCCAAAATAACTGTTAAGTTTATAGACTAATACAAAAAAAATTCAATAAAGTTTCTAAAAATTTACTTTTTTATATTACTTATTTTGCATTCATTCACTGAACGTCATCACAGCATACAAGATGTATCCAGAATACACTGTAAAGTGGCTTAGTCATACATGATATCATCACAAATAATTTTCTATTTCTTGTTTCATATATATATATATATATGATATCCCCTCTCCCCCATTTCTCACCCCCTGCCATTTTCCACCATCTTCTCACTCTATCTTTGGTATCTACAGTTGCTTTCCATTTCTTTTTTTTCTCCCATCTTTCAATTAGTTAACAAAATATCTTAATTAATCTAACTACTTTCAATAGCAAGTTCAGCGGATATATAAAAATATCCATGAACAAATGTTTACTTTAGGCATGAAACTGTGAGTAGAATGAATATACTATTAAAATAGCACCTAGTGGGACCAGCAGTTAGTGTAATGGCTACGTCGCTGGACTCCCACGTAGTCGACCACAGTTCGAGTCCCGGACCCGGTGGCTTAAACTCACGCCAGGCGCGTGTGCGTGCATACCCAAGATCCCGAGAGGAGAATGGAGGAGAAGGGATTGCAGCATGGCCATCCCCTCTGGGGGGGTGATTTCTAGTTTTCTATCTCTCTGTCTCTCTATCTGTCTGTCTGGCAAGAGCACGTGCCCTATAGCAAAAACTTCTCCAAAAAAAAGAAAAAAAAATAGCACCTAGCTGAGGCTATATAACTTACTGTGGTCATTAAATAGATATTTTTAATATGTTTATGAAGTTTTTAAACAAAGCCTAAGAGCCACAAAAGAGGAAGTTCTTTGGGAGGCCTTGTCAACAGAACCAGTCTCATGGTCTTATCCATTTGTTCAACAATGTTCATCAATTGCCCACTTTGCACCCAACCATTATGCTGAGTGTGAAGGTTGTAATTCCCAAGTGTGCCTGGATCTGCATCACACACATCAACTTATATGAATCTCTTTAAACAAAGCCTAAGAGCCACAAAAGAGGAAGTTCTTTGGGAGGCCTTGTCAACAGAACCAGTCTCATGGTCTTATCCATTTGTTCAACAATGTTCATCAATTGCCCACTTTGCACCCAACCATTATGCTGAGTGTGAAGGTTGTAATTCCCAAGTGTGCCTGGATCTGCATCACACACATCAACTTATATGAATCTCATTATCATCCAAATGAAGCTCTTTCATTTCTGTTTTATATATGAGGAAGTGAGGGCATTTAGAAACTCCTGCTCTCAGAGGTAGTGCTGGGATTAGGATTGAACACTAGATGTCTTTTGGCAGTTTCTTTTACTTCCAAGTGATAGGCATGTCTCCATGATTAGAAAATAGCATGAGAGGGCAAAACATCAGGATTATTTGTTTAGGATGCATTTGTCATGTGTTGTGTGGAACTAGATGTATTGTCACCAAGCAGAAGACAAGGACTTCAATTGACTGGAAGTTTCAACAACAAACTCACCCACCATCAGCTACATAGGAGACTGGTCCCTGGTTCTCACTGTCATGGGGATGGATTAATTCTTGCCATAGCAGGGCATTATAAAGTAAACCTGCACATTGCATTTTGCCCACGTTTGGCTCCTCTTCTGCTTTTCTGTCCTGTTTTGATGCAATATGAGGCCTTCATCAGAAGCTACTGGATGTAGTTTCCCAATCTTGAACTTCTCAGTATGCAGAATTGTGAACTAAGTATATAATTTTTCTTTATAATGTCATCACTCTCTGTTATAGCAACAAAAATCAGACTCAGACACCAAGTCAAGAGGCTGCTCTCCTGGAGGATGGAGTCTAAGCTCCCTCACAATGTGGCACAGGATCAGTCATGCTTCTCCCTGCCACAGAGCAGCCCTTGTGTACACCCCCAGCTTCAGGTCCTGCTTCTCCCCCTGCCTCCTATGTCACATGGCTGAGTCCCATGTGGCTGACTATTCCCACAGCCCATCTGTATTTCACCTTAATGCCCAGGCCCCTCCTGCTGGAATACATTACCTGTGACCCTGCTCAGTCTCTGCCTCTGGGTCCAGCTCTCATGTCTTCTCCAGAAACTCCTTTTCCTGTGCTTTTCTGTACATGGCGTCTCTGGGATTGCATTTACCATGCTGTAGTCTAACTGCTTCTGTTTTCTCCACTATTTTGTCTTTTTCTTTCTAAGACCAAGATTGTATCTTATTAACTGTTTTAACCCCCAATAAATTCTCAATGCATACATGGCCATTGAATGGATGCCATTTTCAGCTTTACATTCTCAGATGACTGCCATTGCGGACAGCTTACTTCATTAATTTAATTATTTCCTTCCTTTACTTCAGCACACCACAGGCTCCTTCTTAGACCAGCCCGAGCCCCAGTGCTTCATTACTAGATCTCCTCAGGTATTTCTCTGGCTCTTCCTTTTCTGAGACTTGAGCTTCCCTTCTGAGGCCATGTCTCTGTTTCCCAGGCTAGATTACTTCTTGCTGTAGGCATCATCCCTTTGCATCATTCAATTAGTTGCCTACTCTCCATAAACACCCTACTTTCTGGTGAAATCTTGAATCTGTTTTTTAACAGTTTTCAGGAATCTTGGGTCCTGGGAGTCCAAAGCAGGGATGTAACTGTGCTTATGAAGATCTAATCCTCCCTTTTCTTCTCTTTTAACAGCAGAATATAATGAATGAGAAGATCTAATGAAGAAAGATAATTTATGAATTGTGTAAGTTTTTTATCAATTGAAGCCTGTAATAAATGCCTTACTTTTCCTGTAAGACTTTTATTTCACTGCACAATTAATTTTAAAAATATCCAGAAATTTAAAATATATTTTAATTTAATTTAATTTAGACATTCAATCACTATACATCACTTAGCTTGTAAAGTGAATTTTCACAACATGAATACACTTAACAACAGTCCAATTGAGGATACTATACATGTTATCATCAACAGATAATACTTCTTTTCTGTGTTCCATAAATGTCTTGCCTTTCTATTTTTCTCCTTAATGTCTTTTCTCAGACTCTGCCCATTATCCCACTCTGTCTCTAGTATCCATAACCATTTTCCATGTTTCTGTATCCTTAGATCTTTCCATTTCTGCATAGAGTGCAGACAGTCAGTATATATAAAATGGAGACATACAATGTCTCTCTTTCATAACCTGGCTTACTTCACTCAGCAGTAAATCTTTCATATTTGTCCACTTTCTATCTAAAGTCAGGATCTTGTTTTTTTTTCTTTTTATGGCTGAGTAGTATTCCATAGGATATATGTGTCACACTTTTTCAATCCATTTATCTGTTCGTGGACATCTGAGTTGTTTCCATGTCTTAGCAATTGTGAATAATTCCACAATAAACATAAATGTACAGGCACTTTTACAACTGAGCATTCTCCTGTCCTTTGGGTAAATACCTAAGAGTTGGACTGACGGGTCATGTGGTAGTTCTATTCATCGATCTTTGAGAAATATCCTTATGGTTCTCCATAGTAGCTGGACCAATTAACATTCCCACCAGCAGCGTAGGAGAGTTCTTTTTCATTACAGCCCCACCACCAGCACTCATCATTATTTTTTTAATCTTCACCATTCTGACTGGGGATAGGTGTATCTCATTGTGATTTTAATTTATATCTCCCTTACAATGAGGAATGATAAACATTTTTTCATATGCAGTTTGGTTATTTATCTTTCATAGAAAGTAGTTTTTCAGCCTATTTTCTCATCTTTTAATTGAGCTGATCATTTCTTTCAGGTAAGCCAATTGAGTTGTCTCTGTATTCTGGTTATCAGTCCCTTACGTGAAGTATAGTTTACAAAAATATTCTCCCCTTTGAGGGTTGTCAATTCACTCTAATTACTGTGTATTTTGTTGGGCAGAAACTTTTTAATATGATAGAATTCCACTTGTCTCTTTTTGGGATTATTGTTTCTACTTTGGGGGTACTATATCAATTGATGCAGTAAAAGCATTTGATAAGATACAGCATCCCTTCATGATCAAGACTCTAAGCAAAATTGGCAAAGAAGGGCCATTTCTCAACACAATAAAAGAGATCTATGAAAAACCCATAGTGAACATCATCCTCAATGGAGAAAAACTGAAAGCTTTTCTACTAAAACAGGTACAAAACAAGGAAGCCCACTTTCTCCAGCCCTCTTCAATATAGTACTGGAAGTCCTGGCCAATGCAATCAGAGAAGAGGAACAAATAAAAGGCATTGAAATAGGAAAAGAAGAGGTAAAACTGTCTCTATTTGCAGATGACATGATTGTATGTGTAGAAGACCCAATGGTTTCCATAAAAAATTTCTGGAAATAATACATGAATACAGTAAAGTTTCAGGATACAAAATTAATATCTAGAAATCTATAGCATTTCTATATACAAACAACAGGCAGGCTGAGATAGAACTGAAAAAAAAGTTGTTCCATTTACCATAGCCACAAAATGTATAAGATACCTAGGAATAAATCTAACCAAAGAAGTTAAAGACCTCCGACAGACCCAGCTCAGGTCTTTGGCCAGCCAGCAATTCTGAGGCAGGGACATAACTGCCCCCTCACCTCACCTGCAGACCCCCAGTCCAAGTGCCTGCCCCATAGGTAGGTAGCTAGTACTTTCTGCTTTTGATTTTTGAGCTGCTTTACTCTCTTGTTAATTTCCTGGTCTTCCTACTTCCACAACCTGTTTTGTCCCCAGCAGCAGGCCACAGACCCAGCTGCAGGCCTTTGGCGAATCTATATAGACTTTTTCTTCATTTCTCTGTGTTTTCTTTTCTTGCGTTGTCTCATCTAATATTCTCTCCTCTTCATCTTGCACCCTTGCAGAGGGACTAGACAGGTTTATAATCATATATCTAAAATCTCCTAGTAATATAACTTTCTCTGACATCTTCCCTTACTGACACACCGGAGAAAAAGGAGATACTGTTTTTCAGTCACCTCGGTAGAGTACCCCTCTTGATACCACATTGGTAAAAACAACAGAAGAGAGACTTCGGCAAACAATTTGCAGCAAAAGGGAAAGTCACTTACTCCTAGTTGGAGAAATGTTCCCATAAAAGATATTCAAAGTGAAAATATCTTCCAATGGCTATAAGTAGAAGAAGAGCCTCAGGTATGAATAAACAAGGAAATACATCTCCATCAAAGGTACAGAGTAACTCCCCTCCATCTTTCGTGCTAATGGACGATGTTACCAAAATGTCAAAGAATTTCGAACATTTATGGTGAACAAATTCTTTGAGTTGTAACAGAATAGAGACAAGGAACTACAGGAAGTTTCTGCATGGCAAAAGACACAGTAATTAGTGTGAATTGACAGCCCTCAGAATGGGAAAATACTTTTGTAAATTATGCATCAGATAAGGGATTGATAACCAAAATATACAAGGAACTAAAGAAGCTGTTTGGAAAAAAGATGATGAACCCTATTAAAAGATGGGAGGAGTTGGGAACCAGCAGTTAGCGTAATGGCTATGTCATTGGACTCCCACGTAGTCGACCGTGGTTCGCGTCCCAGACCCGGTGGCTTAAAACTCACGCCGGGCGCGTGTGCGTGCGTGCCCAAGATCCCGAGAGGAGAATGGAGGAGAAGGGATTG